CTTATACATTTCGTGAAAGCTCCAAAAAATTTAATTGCTTTTACACATGTGATCTCTTAATATAAATATAATTTTTGTTTTGTTTTCGGTTGATTAGAATATCAAAATTATTATTTCTAAAAACTAAACAAGTATTCAAATGTTAACGTTATTGTCGGCTTACGTACAGACTTTGTTACTTGCGCCGAAGAAATGTACAAGAGTACCAGGACATGGTAGGATCCACTCGAAAATGTCCTTAATTCGCCTTAATGACTTGACACAAGATCTGTCTCTTTCCCAGCCGACTAAGAATTTACTAATTCTTCTTCTTCCCTCTTGCCTCTTTTTCCATTCGCGCTTCCTCACAGGCCATTTAACTGGGCTGTTATCAAATGTCTGATACATGGCCACAATAACGTCCCATCGAGTAATATCTCTGGCTACAGAGAACTGTTTTCCGCTGTAGTGGCACTCCATCGCCTTCTTCAATCTCTGTCCAATAAAAGTACCGAGAAATCGTGCAAACGAGGCGAAAACAATTTATTATACTCAGCTTTCTTTCCTTTGCATAATTGATAAAAAACAAATTAATAAAATTCGTATGGCTCAAATGTGACAAACACAAATTTGAAGGAATACAGGACTAATTGTAAGAGCCTTGACAGGGCGTTAGTGTCTAAATATTTTCTGCTGTTAATACTTTGTCTCATTAATATTATTATCTTCTTTATATCGTTCTTATAAAGTTTTTGTATTTACCGTTTGATTTTTTAGATATAAAATAATAATAGAAAAAATAATAATAATAATACAATTTGTTTGTTTATATAATATTACATATTCCTATATGTATAAAAATACAGTATTTATTTCCATATCTTATTACGAAAATGGGTAAATGCACAAGAGTTGGCATGAAGAGAACACTCAAACGTAGACCAAAAGAAATGTGCCCTTATTTTACAATACTTATGTACAAAAACCCAAAAGAAACTGACTGTGAACGCAGCTCTCGTAGCAAGAAGAACATAGGTACACAAAAGATAAGCAATATGCCTAAAGGATGTATACCTAAAACTGTTGACTTGAACGCGCCCGATTATTGTGTGAGGAGATTATCCGACAGGGCGCCGATTGATAATCCCCAACAGTAAGCTCATTAATTAATGAAATACATGGTCTCTCCACCATCACAGACAACACGTAAGAGCAAGGAAAAATGATTGTAATATATCCCGCAACCATAACAACCTGGGGACAAAGTTAAAGAAAATTAATAAACTTTTTAGCATATTCTTCTGTTAATACTCAAATTCATATTCGTATACATTTATCATATATTCATTCTTTCATATACTTACTAAAGACAGACAATGACATATTTCGAAACTATTATATAAGATGCAACTTGAAATGTAATAAACTGCCATTACATTGAAACAATGTTAATTTAATAAGAATTTATATATTAGTGAATGAACAAACCTCCGTGTTTAGTAGAGCACGCTATCACAATCCCTGTTATACCTATTGCCCAAAATATTCTGTGTAGTGCTACATAAATAGCAGAAACTAGAATGGATACGTGTCGCTTGTAAATTACTATTACAAATAATACGTAAACGATGCAAAGGCTAGCAAGGAACCAACATAAGATTATAACTTTCTGAAATATTGAAGTTAAATTATTATAACACGTTTTTATGTATGTTGTTACACATAATATAATTGATTAGTATATACGGAACTTGTTAGTACATATACAATAAATTTATATATTCTGTAAATATTTCAATGACAATTTTATTTAATATATTATGTAAAAGTAAAATAGATATTTTACCCTTCTCGAGACCGCATTATTATTCAATTTTATTAAAATGTAACCTGTAACCATTCCAATAATATATGGATTTATTCTCATCCATGGTGGTGTATACATCACATCTACAGGGTGAGTAACAACATTTGTGCCAGAGCTCGTGGGAAGGTAGAACGGATCGAGATGAACAGAAAAGTCCTGAACCATTTGCAATTTTCGCAATAGTTAACGAGTAATAAATTATCGAAAATCGTCGTCTTTGCCCTGCCCACTGTCCAATTCGAACGCGTGGCGAGATGTGACCGCACGGCGATCGATATTGCCAGGCGAGGGGGGGGACAGCGCGCAGTTGCCGGCGAGCTTGAGGATAAAAGTGCTGGTCAACGGGAGAACGGACACACACTTTTCCATCCGGCGAAAATATTCAGACGAGGAAGAGAATAAAGCACGAGATAGACATCTACCGGAAAAAGACCGACTGTATTATATTCAAGCATCGGTTCGCAATAAATAGTAATATCGTTATTTAAAAGAGAGACTCCACATTATTCAAATTCTGACGGTTTTTCATTCCATCACCACGGGAGAAGCATATATTGGCGAGAGGCAGTCGCTGTGCTTCTGACCCTATCATCGGCATGCTACACCATATTATACCCTAAAGCTGTTTATTTCGTAAAAATGAAGCCTTCTCCAGGTTCTTTCAATAAGTAAAAAAAATTCAGATCTCTTTCTACAGAAAGTGTGATCTTTTTCGCTCTGTGGGAAGAGCTGATTTAAAACGATGTCTGGATTACATAGCGGGTTAGTTCACCTTGACCCTATTTTGAAATATGTTATTGCGTATGTTACGTCACATTTAAGATAACTCGCAATTTACATTGCAGATCAAAGGCAGATTGCATTTTATATAACATCATTGGTTATATAAAGTATAACTTCCATAATGCGAAAAAATCGGTCTATAACTAAGATAAAGTCGTTCGGTTTGCGACGCAGTATAGTAACATATGTAATTATTGAAAATATAAGACGAATCTAATGGCGTCAGATTCTTGCGATGTCGAGATCAAGAAACAATATACCGACAATCCAAATGCTCAATCTGAAGTATCCCAGAGTTATTCCACGAAACTGAAGAGCTGCAAAAGTGTTCAAGACGAACAGATATATGACGATGACGAGAAAAATATCAAAATTCGTCAAATTGTTAAGTATCTAAATGATATGTCGTACACACAGTCATTCTTACAAGACTTTTCAAGATTATCCTTCACAAAGACGGAACCCAGAAAAGTCGTGGAACGTGAAATCAATGAAAGTGGGAACGAAAAAAGGGATCATAATAAATCCATTAGTGATGGGAAGACGTTTCGACTACTAAAGGAAGGCATCCCAAAAGCAGTGTTCCCAGCCGTGAACGTTAGCACGGACGGTGCCGCGGCGGTGGGGATGGAGTAGGGATAGTCGGTCTGCGCGCGCACGCGTGGCCAGACCGACTATCCCCACTCCATCCCCACCGCCACGGCACCGTCCGTGCTAACGTTCACGGCTGGGAACACTGCCCAAAAGTTTTCGAAAATGTTTACAAATACAATAAGTACCAAAAAGAAAAGCCAGATATTTTATATAAAATATTTTATATAAAAAAAATAAAAATAAAAAATACTTAATAAATGTCCAAAGGTTCCAATTTCTCTTTTTTTCCTGAGGCGCTCGCCATGCAAAATTCTTGGTTTCAACCAATTGAACTCGTGATCATGTAATACACGATGTTCACTATTCACAGAGTGAGAGCTTTCGTATTTTTTTATGTCATTTCTATGTTCTTTAAATCTGATCAGAAGGTGTCGTTTCTTACAAATATTTACTGTAATATTAAAAACTATAAATATCTGTAAAATCTACTTAAAAATACGTAATTTTGTTTACAAAAGTTACGTCTTTGAGACTCAATACGTAATACTTGAATTTTTTATTATACCCTTCAAAGTTTTCTAAAATAATTATATGTAATCTATAAACGGAATAAAAACCAATAAAAACAGGACCAATAAAAAATTTGATTACCGTGATGACAGACTTACAGATGATTCCAATATGACGCGTTACAAATTTTGTTCTCGAAATTGTGTTGAAATTGCTTTATGCTTATGATACCTTCTAAGATTTACCATTTCGAAAATGGCCGCATTTAGGATACTACATAACAATTAATGAGCACACTTTGTAATTCTGTTACAGCTTGTTCATGTTCTACTTTACGACAAACAGTATGTTGACGTCTTCAATGCGCAATTTTTCTTTTTTCAATATATCTCACAAATTACAATTCTACGTAAAAAAGCAAAAACCATACTTCGCATACGTTAAATACATCTTTGCATCTACATATACATACAATTAAATAATCGGAATATGTATACCCTCACGCAAAGCGATGCTTTATTTAAATTGTAGAACAGAAGAGTTAAGAATCTTAAATGCTTTATCAAATGTTACGTAAATTCTGTTTATGCAGATAAAAAGAAAAAGATACACGTAAGGTCAATCGGAGTAAAACCGCGTTATCGAGTAGTCAGCGAGTACTAGTAGAGAGTGTTGCGTCTAGTGTT